CTCTCTCTCTCTCTCTCTCTCTCTCTCTCTCTCTCTCTCTCTCTCTCTCTCTCTCTCTCTCTCTCTCTCTCTCTCTCTCTCTCTCTCTCTCTCTCTCTCTCTCTCTCTCTCTCTTTCTTTTTTTCTTCTCGCACAAGAACTCGTTTGAAGATTACGTCTAATGACGCAAATACAGGAAATATCTTGATATTAATAGATTTATTTAAATGTTTGACGTTAGAACAGGTGTCTATTTTTGGGATTGCGGCCGGAGGGGGCGGAAGGGCAAAGAATCGGAATCGCGTCACGATCATCTCGTACACGTCTCGTCCTTTGCCTTCCTCTCATTCCGATAGCCGTCAGCAGCCGACAATGTGCGTGCGTAAACCGCGCGATCGTTTCTCAGGCATTTCTGATAAAAACTGAAATATGATATGTCGCTAAAGTCGAAGATTGTTTTCTTCCTGTTATTTATTTGCGATTAATTCGAACCGGTTACGAAGGCGGCAGAAAGTGCGAAGAGATTCGTGGAAACGGCTGTATGTAAAAATTGATTACACAAACATTGTTTCGCAAACAATTCGATTCTACGATAACATACCGTAAGGTATACCGAGTACAATTAAGAATCGAAATGATTAGAACGATTAGAGAGATTTTCTAAGTGCCACAAAAAAAATTAACGGATAAAATTAGCGGACAAATAGCAAAGAAGGTGTAAAAGTACGTTTCTCTTCTCTCCAAGCCCTTTCTGCTCTGCTCAATTGTCAATTTGTATATGTTGTTCCCCGTGCTAGGATTCAAGTGCCGCAGCGTAAACATTCGTATATCGCCTAGTAGAAATAAGGAATTACCATTACATATGCTTAGGTGTTTATTTATAGATTCTCTCGGCCGTATTGTTGCCAAACAATGTGATAAACACGTACTCGATCACAACCAGCCGCTCGAGTAAGTGTTAAATCCGGTCAGACGTGCATATTACATGTATCTGAATGTAATTATCATTACGCATTCATCACGCGCATTCGTTCAGATGGATAATGATTACACGAGTGAATCATGACCGCGTCCGTCGCGATTGACGCACATTATCTATTTATTGCACACATCGCATATCACACCGTCTATTTATTTTCATCAGCATCCATTCATTTCACGATATATATATATTTATCTATCTATTTATTTATTTATTTATTCCTCCACTCGCTTATGCAGGTATATTATTATTTATTTCTAACTGTTTCGCGCGGATATAACCAACGAAGACCATTAATCCATTCAAAGTGATATAATTTGTTTCACGGAGAGACATACAAGCGGGGAAACAATCTCGCGATGTGTTAATTCCGAGCGACTATCTGTTGAAACTTACATAGTTTGTTAATCGGCAAGTGATATGACTGATGTGATTTAGAGTGGATCGAACCAAAAGCGTGATTCGTCGTATGGAACTCGTTTGCGAGCTTCCACTAGTAACTTTAGATAATTTTTTTCATTCTTCTTAGACGTAAGCATATCTATATGTAATAAGAGACAAACAGTATTAAATACTCCGACAACACTCGATGCGAGTTCTCGACTAGAGAATTGTAATTGCAAATTGTTGTTGCACGTACTTTTTTTTTTGCTCCTGTAAAAGATTACACCGCTGTAGTGTGTTTAACAGGAGAGACAAACAGTATTAAAATAAAAATAATATTTCTCACTGATAATGTGTCTCGTGTATATTTTTTACAAACGTTCCCCCCATATCATATTACGTTAAAATTATGAAGAAAATGTTTAAAATCATGTAATCTTTCAATTTTTCTAGGATCAAACTGCGTGAACGCAAGGATCGCTTCTACTCTGACCGCGATTAACGACTTACGTAAAGTTGTTCGAAACGTTACGTTAGTTTGAAAATACATTAAGTTATG